TGGGCGGTAATGGAAGTAACCCCGGATTTGGAATTCACACTGTTCCTACAGGCCCCGGAGGACCCACGCTAAATTGGGATGCGTCCAATGTCTACAACACGTTAAATGTCAACTACGTACAACTGTTTGCTGCGGTTGACAGACAAGGTATCAATCAGGCTGAGCAGGGAGTCATTGTAGAAGCCGAAAGGCGCCATGAACTAGCAGTCAGCGAATTATGCTCTGATGCAAATCTGAAACTGGCACAGGCCGAAGCGGTAGCAAATGCCAGGCATACTCAGGCAATCGCGAACCTCGAGCACAAGGCTCAAGAAAGAGATCGACTGCTGCGCGCCGAGCTTGATCAGTGCAAGGAAGCATTAGGTAGAAGTCGAGAAGAGACCAAGAAAGCAGACTACAAGCTAGGTTATTTAAGAACGACCTTGAATGAGGAGTTCACTCAAAACAGGAATTCCACGATCAACTTCCTTCAAGAAGAATTTCGCAAAAGTCCGGACTTCCTACAGAGTGAAATGAATAGCAAAATGCAACTGCTGGAAGCGGATCTCCAATCCCAAAATGATGAGCTTCAGGACGAATTGTCAGCTGCCGAAAGAGCGCTAAAGTTTCACCAAAAGGCAAGCGAACTCAACGAGCGCCCTCCGGAAGGAGGAGCCGCCGCATCCAACAAGGATGGCTTAGCCTCAGGTGAACCACGTCCTAAGGCACCTCAGGGACCAGGATTTCCAGACCCGTTTGTCATACCAGAAAGTACGCGTGGTATGTTTCCGCACTTAGGCGCAACGGCCCCAGCGGTGGATTATGTTGCTGGTACCACACCACCGTTGGATCCAGGGTTTGTAACCCCCGTGGAGAAAATTCCTAAGGAACCAATCTCCAAAGAAGCACCTCCTCCACCAGGTCTGCAAGGGCTCAGTGAACTCGACAAGTTTAATCTTCTGACGGCCAAGATCCTAGGGAAACAGCCCGAAGAGGATAAGCCAAAAGTGAAGGAGGCCGAGACCATCAAGCTGCCCGAATTTCCTAACCCCGAAACCTATTGTTCATGACGAGTTTCGGATGCCCCCCGCCTCCAGGGAGGCGAGCTATTTCTTTGTCCAGCGCTTGCCGCGCCACTGGACACCGGCTGGCATCACCCAGACGCCCGTGATGAGGGACGCGTTCTGGGGTGGTGCATGGCGCCCTGCATTTCAGGCACAACGCCTGCTTGCATGGCCGGGGCGACCCGAAAACAGCAGCAAGAGAAGCTATCCATGCCGCCAGCGACCAGCCAGATTCGGCTTTCGCTTGGATCTTGGAAGTATATAAAAAAGATGCCTCTCACGAAAAGCTGCGTGACCCAGGGAAGTTCCTCACCTTAGACACCAAGCTCCTTGCTTCGCTTTCCAAGGTCGCTAAAGGGGAACTCGCAAGACAAATCTTGAACTTTAAGGAAGTAGAAGCGGGTCATGAAAGGGCAGTGCGCGGTCGCCAGGTTCTCTATCTGCTTGATCAGCACTTCAAAACCAATGAGGAAGTTGGGTCGCTTTACAGTGTCGAAGATTTGCTCAAAGTCACACTCGTTCAAGACGACTTGACCACTTTCCTCCACAATTGGGAGTCTGTAATCGCAGGAATGAGCCACATCCCCGACGAAACCACCCTTAGGGACATCTTCTTGAGGCAGATCCGGAAATCCCAAAAGATAAAGTTTGACCTTGAACGCTATGACAGGGCCAAAGAAGGTACCCCCGAACGCTCCTATGAGTTCCTGAAGGAATCCATACGGGACCTCCTCACTAGAGAACGAATGAGGACGACTCGTGACAGAATTGCCAAAAGTCACGGGGACAAGTACGGGGCACCAGGTATGAAAGATACCAAGACAAGATCCGGACGCTCCCCTGGGGGGGAAAGCCGACGTAGGGGAAGATCCTTCAGTTCATCTAGGTCTTCTAGGTCAAGGACCCCTAGTCGGAGTTCCTTTAGACAACCAAGTCAAGAAAAGCAGGTTTGCCGTGACTTTCTCAAAGGCAAGTGCAAACGTGGGGATGAGTGCAAGTTCCTCCATCGACCTAGATCAAAGTCACCAAATCCTCCCAAGAAGAAGATACAAGCTACTTGTCGTTTTTGGAAGATAGGAAAGTGTCAGAAAGGGGACAAGTGCAGGTTTCTGCATAGGGACCTTTCTAAGCCTCCCAACAAAGGAGAAGAAGGGAAGCCGAATGCCCCGGCAACCCCAGCGACAGGAGACAAGCCTGAAAAACCAAGGTCTCCAACGCCAAATGGGCGTAGACGTAAGGGTAGCCGAGGAAGGTCTCTTAGTAAGGGCGACAAACCAGCTGCTTGTTGCGTGCATGCCGCCGCTGCGCCGACCTCAGTCAGTAACAATGAGGATTCTTGGGAAGTAGACTTTAGATCAGGCACGCTAATCAGACACCACAAAGAATATCGAACTAGCATGTTCGTTCCAATCGAGGGCGAATGCCCCATGGCACTCAGCATGGGCTAAGTAACCTGGTTCGGGTTGAAAAGATTCTTCCAGTTCATCCTTACACTGCGGTTGTTGAGTGGAGCTGGAGGGATGATTCGAGTCAGGAACAAGACATGACCCCGTGGGTTGGAAAGACGGTGTTCAAGGTGATACCAGATGTCACAGCACTCGCGG